GACTTCACGAGGAAGAGGTGTTGCATAGCGACTGTGGATAATCACAGAAAGCCTGCGGTGCCCGTTCGTGCCCTGTTCCTAAACAGTTCGAGGAGTCTAAGTCAGTTCAGATATCCAGTGTCTTCAACCCCAAGATTCTTTTTTCTTTGTCTCTTTTTAGACCAACCACCAGGACATAACTCCAAGATTCTTTAGGCTACATTTTTTTGTTTGTTTAATTCAGTTTACTTAATTTTAAACATATGGTTTAAAAATCAAAAAGTTAATCTCAGTGTACAGTGGAAAGTCGTCTTTCTCCTCACATTCTCGCATCTACCTAGGTCCTTTCTCCAGATATTATTAGCCTTCTGCGTATCTTTCCAGAGTTTCTTGGTGTGTGTACAAACAAATATAAATATAAATTCTTTGCCCCCCCTTTACATACTTTTCTTAGAGTAAGAAATAGAGACCAAATTTTTTTTTATAGTTTTATAGTATTCCATTGTACAGATGTACTATAGTTTTATAGTATTCCATTGTACAGATGTACCATAATTTATTAATCAGGTACTCTTGGCAGACATTTATGTTTGTTTCCAACATTTTGTTAATAACCTTGCATACGATGTTAGTCTGTTTTGTGCTGCTGTAAAGGACTACCTGAGGCTGGGTAGTTCATAAAGAAAAGAGACTGACTTGGTTCACGGTTCTGCAGACCGTACAAGCATGGCCCCAGCATCTGCTTCTGGTGAGGGCTTCGGGGAGCTTCCAGTCAAGGTGGAAGGTGCCGGGGGAGCAGGAGTGTCACATGGTGAGAGAGGGAGCAAGAGGGAGCAGGTGGTGCCAGGCTCCTTTCAACAACCAGCTCTCGAGTGAACTAATAAAGTGAGAACTCACTCTCATCACTGGGGCGGGGCACCAAGCCACTCATGAGGGATCCGGCCTCCTGACCCAGATGGCTTCCACCAGGCCCCACATTCAGCACTGGGGATCAAATCTCAACGTGAGACTTGGAGGGGCCAAACATCTAAACCATATCACATACTGTGCCCATTCTAGAGCCAATCTTAGTTTTGTGGGACAGCTGTCAGCAGAAAAACATGGGCTACTTTAATTGGTTCAGCTGTTATCCTTTATTCTGAGATGGGCCTTGAGTTTTCGGAGAATAAGAGTAAATGATCTTATCAAACCTTGAAGTCAGGAAAACTGGTGTCCCTTTAGCCTTTTGAGTAGAGAAATCCTGCTGAATACTATTATCCTTCAGAAATCTTACCTCATTTTTCTTCCTCCTCCTTCACCAGTCTACCTAGTCAGCAGGTGGCGCGCTTCTCCCGTCCCGTTCCCAGTTGTGCTGTGCCTTTTCTATTCCTGCTTCACTATCTCATCCAGCCTCCTTGTTCACACTAGGATCACTGCACTCGGTCTTTCCTGTGCTCTCATTGATCCTAATGCTTACTGGTAAGGGACGATGCTTGTTGAACACCTGCTATGTCCTTGGCACTGTGCTAACGACTTTTCACACACTGACCATTTCAATCCTCATAACTGCTCTGTGAGACGATGGTAATGTTCTCACTTCACAGATGAAGAAATTGAGACGCAAAGGGTGTTTTGTTTTGTTTGAGACAGGGTCTCACTCTGTTGCCCAGCCTGGAGGGCAATGGTGCGATCACAGTTATCTGTAGCCTCAAACTCCTGGGCTCAAATGATCCTTCTGCCTCAGCCTCCCAAGTAGCTGGGGCTACAGGCACGCGCCACCACGTGCAGCTAAGGCACAGAGATTATATGGCTAAGAGGTGATCAAGTTAAACAGCTGTGAGATGGTTTCAGTTCTTAAAAAGTTTATGACCTAATTAGGAGAGATAGGAAACCATTCCTTCAAACTAGAAATGGTGTATGACTCCAGAGAAGGTGGAGGAAATGAAGATTTTTATAGGAGAGAGAAGGATGTGGGATATAGATGAATAGTTGTAAGAACATGCCAGACGGGGAAATATGAGCATCCCAGAAGGAACAAGTTTGCATAGTTGGCAAATGCTGTCAGCTGAACTAGCATTGAACTATTGTATCAGATTCATCTGGAAAGCTTTTACAAAATATTGTTGGTTTCTGATCCCACCCCTAAGCTCCTCCTCAGTCAGATGGTCAGAGACAGGGTCTTAGTGGTATTGATATTGTCACAGGCTATTCTGATGCATGGCCAAGCCAGGTAACTATTAGCTAAAGAAGGAAGAGGTATGGGGGTAACTAGATCAGAGGATACATTTTCTGAGAAGTGGTAAGTGGTAAGATTAGATGAGGACAGCCAAATCATATCAGGAGAGGCCAGGCTAAAGAGTTGAGGGTTGAAGCAGAAGGCAGTGGAGAGAGAGTCACTTAGGTTGATCAGCAGAGATGTGTTAAAAGCAGGGTTTTAAGCAGACTTTTCTGGCAGTATAATGCAGGAAGGAAAGGCTGCAGTAGGAACCAAGCTAGGAGATAGTTACGGGGAATTAGGAGTCATGTTATCACTATGAGAGTCTTAAAATGGAGTAAGCATTTTTTATCAGGGATGCTTTGTTTAGAGGTATGAATTAGTAAATTTGGAATCTAAGGTTTAACTCTTGGAAGCTTCAGAATCTTTTACTTGTAAAGAATATTAAAAAAACAAGGAACCAGGCACAGTGGCTCATACCTGTAATCCCAATGCTTTGGGAGGCTGAGGTGGGAGGATTGCTTGAGGCCAGGAGTTCAAGACCAGCCTGGGCAACAAAGCAAGACCCCATCTCTACAAAAAATTTTTTAAAACATTAGCCAGGTGTGGTGGTGTGCACCTGTAGTCCCAGCTACTCAGGAGGCTGAGGCAGGAGGATCAGTCGAGCCCAGGAGTTGGAGGTTGCAGTGATCTATGATGATGCCGCTGTACTCTAGCCAGGGTGAGAGAGTGAGACCCTGGCTCAAAAAAAAGAAAAAGAGAAAATGGTCACGGAAAATGAGGACTAAAAATTACCTGTTAAACTTAGCAGAATGAAGGTGTCACTGGTGACGTTTTCGAGAGCTATTTGAATGATTATGGAGGTAGAAACCAACCCGAGGAGGGAATGGGAAGAGGTAGTGAAATGTAGACAGTAAGCAGACAGTGCATAGTAACTCTGACAGTGTTCGCTTTGATGAGGAAGACAGGGAGATAGCTGGACAGGAAAAGGGATTGAGGAAGGGAGGGCAGTTTTTGTTTTTTCAAAGATGGGAGAAACTTGATCAGGTTTAGATGATTATGAGATTACTCCAGTGGAGAAGCTGTAGAATACCTGTGCAAGAGCGAGGGGTTCAAAGTAGAGAAACTGGTCTTAGTTATGAAGGTGGGCAAATTTAGCATGACAGGAGGGATCAAGGAGAGGAATGGCTCTATAGATATAGAAGAAGTGGAAGCCGATGCAGTGTGCGATACGCAATGCGACTTTGGTAGCCCTGAGCACCGTGTTAGATGTTTCTAGGGAGTGTCACTGGGCTTGGAACAGAGGCTACATTCCTATCCAGTCTTGTCTTGGGCCAGCTCAGCTCTTAACTTCACTTTGTCCCCTTTGGTCACTAGCCCTTTGGCCTCAGCAGTGCTACCGATCAATCCCCTTTCTTGGAACTGAGCCCTGGGCCCATGCACCCCAGTGCAGTGTATCAGCTTAATTTCACCATCTTCTCTGGATTTATTTTACTTTTTCCTGCGGCAGGGAGACCAAAACCAAACAGCTGTAGTCTTGACAAGCTATTTTAGTAACCACCTAGAGTAACTATTTTCCTCTAGAAATCCAATCTGTGATTTTTATTTCTGAAAATTGAGTTTTCTAATACACTTCAGTAAAAAAAAAAAATCTACATTTCATTTTTTCAAAATTTGTTAACCTCATGCCATGGGCCAAGCACTTGTTACCTCAAATTAAATAAGAAGTATTTATGGCTACCTCGAGGAATCAGGAAAGACTAAGATACCTTCACACACATGCACGCAGCCTTGTCTGACTTTTTTCTTTCGATAAATGCATAGATTTTTAAAGTATCTAGATCTGAATTCAACTTCTTTTTGTGTAAAAGAAGGCCAAATTAATCCTTCTTTGGCTGAGAATATAATTTAAAGGGGTCTTTTGATTTATATGTTATTCAACCCAGATGGTCCTTTTTTCTTAAGGCCCAGTTTTTTCATGCTGCCTCTATAAGTAAGATGCAGATATTCTTCTCCCCAAAGAGGAGTGTTTTTACTGTAAATCAGGTAGTCTTAACCTGGGTTCTATAGATCCCAGCAGATATTGGTGATTTTGTGGGTCCTTGAACCTTCCAGAATTAATATGCAAAATTGTTGAATGCATATATGTGGATTCTTATACTAGAAAGCATTCTTAATTTTTTTTTTCTTTTTTTGAGACAGAGTCTCACTCTGTTGCCCAGGCTAGAGTGCCGTGGCGTCAGCCTAGGTCACAGCAACCTCAAACTCCTGGGCTCAAGCGATCCTCCTGCCTCAGCCTCCCGAGTAGCTGGGACTACAGGCATTCGCCACCATGCCCGGCTAATTTTTTCTATATATATATATATATATTTTTTTTTTTTTTAGTTGTCTAGATCATTTCTTTCTATTTTTTAGTAGAGACGGGGTGTCGCTCAGGCTGGTCTCGAACTCCTGACCTCGAGTGATCCTACCGCCTCGGCCTCCCAGAGTGCTAGGATCACAGGTGTGAGCCACCGCGCCCGGCCTGCGTTCTTAATTTTTATTAGATTCTCAAAGGATTCTGTTACTGCAAAATATTAAGAACTATTACACTATTAAAATCTTCATTTATTAGGCTTTGGTTTATGATTATTTTAACATCATTTACCATTTAGATTTTCTCCCTGGAGGGAAGGGAAATTGAGGATGTACTACTTCACAATTGTACTTCTCTAATTTATTAATTTTTATATTATAATGTTTGAAATTTAAACATTAGAATTTTTTATGTTTAACAGTATTATAGTCATATTACAATTTTTGTTATAAATGTATTTTTTGTTTGTAGTACCAGGACCCTCTGGTGATAATGGCATCAGTGTTACTATGATCTTGATGGCTTGGATGGTTATTGCAGTGATACTATTCTTGCTGAGACCTCCTAATCTAAGAGGATCCAACCTACCTGGAAAGCCAACCAGTGCTAATAATGTAAGTGTTGCAGATCACGAAGGCTTTTTGGGTGGGAGCATGTATATGGCCTGGGGAGGGAGAAGACTTTATTTTGATTATTTTGACCAAAATAATCAAAATCGGCAAAAGGAACATTAAACTCATGGAGTAAAGTCTTCCTGTCTATATAGGAAATCTTGCAACATCAAGTGACTTAATCTTTGTGGAGTTATATATAGAATGAAGCACATACCAGTAGCCCAAAAATAATTTTAAAATGAATTCCAATCCTTACTCCCATGAGAAACATCAGAGGTGATCTGTTCATAATCCACAGCAACGTTGCTCGAATGTCAGCCCTGCAGCGCCCAGTTCTCTGCGCCTCACAGTGACCGAGCCCCGAGCACACTTCACTGGCTTTTATCCCCTTCTGGCCTAGCTATGAGATACAACTGAGGCACTGACCTGTCTGGCTAAATCCTTTTTTCTTCTCGTTTTCCCATCCTGTTTCTCTCAAACCCATTTTCCATTTCTGCATCATAATAAATCAACTGAGTTGGCAAAAGGAAAAGCAGGAATCATTCGTGTTTTGGGGTTTTTTGGGGGTTTTCTTTTTTTAGCTAGGGGCTCACTCTGTTGCCCGGACTAGAGTGCTGTGGCATCATCGTAGCTCACTGCAACCTTGAGCTCCTGGGCTCAAGCGATCCTCCTGCCTCAGCCTCCCGAGTAGCTGGGACTACAGGCATGCGCCACCACGCTGTATTTTTTGTGGAGGTGGGGTCTCTCTCTTGCTTACGCTAGTCTCTCTTTTTTTTCTTTTCTTTTTTTCCTGGGACTCTTACTTTGTCTATATCAGGCTAGTCTCAAACTCCTGTCCTCAAGGGATTCTCCTACCTAGGCCTCCCAGGTGCTAGGATTACAGGCGTGAGCCACTGTGCCTGGCCCATTCATGTTGATAACTCTTGATACTCATGATTACAACCATTTTTAGAACTGTCCAAATGAAGAATGTGATAAAGTGACCTAATAGGGAGTTTTCAATACTATCTTTAGTAGAACCTCCATTAAAGGATTCCTTTTAATTCTTTTTGGAACCAGTATTTATACATTTTTTTCAATTTGATTTGAATACAACCTCTTTTAAAATGTCTCCATGCATATGTTAATTAGTTTGATTTAGCCATTCTACAATGTACACATATTTCAAAACAACATGTTGTACTTGATAAATATATTTGCATAAAATTTTTGTCAATGTAAATAAATGTTAAAAATAAAATAAAAACATCTATAAGATGATATAGCGTCAAAAAGAAAAGGAAAATTTCCATGATGGATTCACTTGTTGAACACCAAAGTATCCCACTAATTCCCTTCTCCAACCTTCACCATGTGGTAGAATTCCTAAAATAATTGCTTCTTTTCCCCAATGTTGTGTTGTTAATATTAGAAAGAAGTTCAGTTAGACTAATTTCTTATATAGGAGAAAGCAAACATGCAATGTTAATTGGTCAGTGCTTTGGTTTTTTTAGAGGGGGGTATTCATAGAACAGCTGGCATGCTGTCTTGATAAAGTGTTTCCTCCTTAGCCTTTTTTCTTACTTTCTATGTATAGCTTTATTACTTTCCTATCAAAAAACAACTTCCTTAATATTTGGAGCTAAAGAAATTCAACTTTTAATAACCTGACTTAGCCAGGCATGGTGTTGTGTGCCTGTAATCCCTGCTACTCAGGAGGCTGAGGAGGGAGGATCGTTTGAGCCCAGGAGTTGGAGGTTACAGTGAGCTATGATCACACCTCTACACTCCAGCCTGGGTGAGATAACAGAGCAACATCTTTGTCTCTAAAAAAAATAATAATAAGGCTGGGTGCAGGGGCTCGGGCCTGTAATCCTACCACTTTGGGAGGCTGAGGTGGGAGGATCACTTGAGGCCAAAAGTTAGAGACCAGTGTGAGCAATATATCAAGGCCCCATCGCTACAAAAAATAGAAAAATTAGCCAGACATGTTGGTACACATCTGTATTCCCAGATACTTCGGAGGTTGAGGCAGGAGGATCACTTGAGCCCAGGTGTTTGAGGTTACAGTGAACTATGATGACACCACTGCAGTCTAACCCAGGCAACAGAGCGAGACCCTGTCTCAAAAAAACACAAAAACCCCAAAACAAAACAAAAAACAAAAATAATAATGATCTGACTCAGAAGCCCTTGAAAGTGACAGAAAGATTGTACTCCCCTGGACATTAATTCATATTAGGCCAACAGCCCTAGGAATAGTAGTTCCACTGCCCTAGGAATAAGCAGGAAAACATAGTGACTCTAATGCCAGTTAGAAATATTGGTCACCCCCAATTAGGGGCTTCATATGCCGTGTCAGGGTAAATAAATAAAACCTTCCTGAAGATTCCTAAACATTCTGATCCTTCCTTTACAGTTCACATGCTCTCTATTGCAAGTGACAAAAGCCAGTTCAAACTGGTTTGAAACAAGTGGCTTTACTGGTTGACACATCAAAAACATCCAAAGGCGGGGTCAGTGATTCGGAAGTCGAACAGTGTCATCAAAGACAGTTTCTTTCCTCATACTAGCAGCTTCACTGCCAGGAGCAGGTGGAGCCACAGGCTTCCTCACGGACATTCTTCAGAAACAAAAGTCCCTGCTTCACTTTGCATGTATAGTGCTTTGCTCAACCCGTCACTTCAGAAGGGGGGATGAAAATACCTTTATTGATTTGAAGATCACGCTGGAGCTGGCGGGGAGCACCGCAGCACTGTCGCACGACTCCCCTTCTTTCACACTACAGGAAAGAGTGAGACAGTGAGAGGCAGTGTCAATCTAGTGTTCCCTTGTGTAAAAAAGATATAAAAAGTCCAAGTCAGTGTATAGGTGGGAAGGGAGGCCGGAGGGCACCACTGCTCAGTTCTTACTGGATGTGTTAGATTGGTTGCACTGGGATTTAAGAAGTCAGTTAAGTAATTTCTTTCTTTCCAATGCCAGGGGCAAGACCCACCAGCTCCTCCTGTGGACTAACTTTGTGATATTGGAAGTGAAAATAGTTAACACCTTGCACGACCAAACGACCGAGCGAACGAAGATGACCGGAGTACTCTTAACCCCATTAGAACTGTTTTTCCTTTTGCATCTGCAATGTGGGATGGTATTGTTTTCATGAGCTTCTCAGAATTTCACTTGCAAACTTGGGGGGTTTTTTTGTTTGTTTTTTTAATGCAAGCTTGTTTTTGCTTCCTGTGTTATCACCATTCCTATTTACAGTGTATTTGAGTAAATGATTATATTAAAAAAAGTTACATGGGGCTTTTTTGGTTGTCTGAAACTTAAACATTCCACTCATTCTGTTTATAACTGTGATCATAATTTTTGTGATGATTTCTGGCCTGATAGAAGGAAATTTCAGAGCTCTGCATTGAAATATTTTAAATAGTTTTGATAGGTTTTTAAATTGCTTTTTTTAATAAGGTATTTATAAAGCTTTTTGGGGTTGTCTGAGATTGTATGAAAGAAAATTAGAACCACACTGTATTTACATTTGCCTTGGTAGTTTATTTGTGGATGGCAGTTTTCTCTACTTTTTTGGGACTGTGGCAGCTCTTGGAATATTTTACAAATTACAGCTGAAATCTGTATCATCTATTACAACTGGCCTATGTGGCTAGAATAGTAGGAGAGAAGAAATGAAATGGTTTTTACTAATTTTTCTACTCCTAGTAAAAATGTGTAATGTAACGAAACTTTAAATAAACATGATTGATCAATATGGTGGATGATTTACAGTCCATTATCTGACATTTGAAATCCACTGTACACTAGCCTTACAAGGTTTATGAGAGGAGGAAAAAATTAATTCTTTCTGCCTTTGCCCAATATAATCTATACAGTAATAATTTAAGCTATAATTTATTTTTAAAATGAATGCCTCTTGGGAAGCTTCTTTCTGTTCTAACACTTCCTTATTAAAATGAAACTGTCTGAAAGCTGTATTAGGGCCTGTTAGGTTACTGACATTTGAAAGCCTAGTTACTTCATTTTTTTACTTGAAGAAAATTTTGAGGCTTTTGTTATCCTTTTGACTTACAAAAATTTTTAATGAATTCTTGGTTTATTCCAGGGAAAAGGAGGAAAATGAGAAACAATCAAGGATCTTTTTCTCACCCTTGATATCATTCCTGTTTGGTAATGGGATGGGTTGGGGTGGGAAGGAGCATTAACATAAGCGAAATCTTCAACTGTATAAAAAAGTAAAAGTTGCATTGTTTTGCTTAGTGTGAAAAAAAGTGAATACAAATAGCATCTTAAAAGTCTGCGTGACCTATGTGGTTATAGAATTTTTTCCTAGCAAGTGATTGCAGATGATTTTTGGGAACTAAAAGATATTTTGCTACCAATGTAAGGATCTTTTTTCCCTTAGGTCAGTCTAGCTTTTCACTGTGTAGATCTGATAAATTACTTGTATGAATTAAATAAACTTCTTTGTATCATTGTACTATTTAATAGTCTCTGATACAATTGTGTGACACTCATAGGCTATATTTTCCCTTTATTGTGATTACATTCTAGGCCACAAACATTGTTAAGAGCATCGTTTCAGTATATAATCCAATACTGACTGCTTGAATTTCTCCTTGTGCATCTTGGCTTTGTGCTCAACTTCTTGAAATAATATTAATATAAACAACTCTTAATTACTTGTGCGAATAGAGGGGTAACATACCACAGGTAAGTTAAATCCTGGCTAAATGAATACCACATAGTAAAGGTTTTTCCTTTTGCTGTGGCCTGGAAGGCTTCCTAGCTCTATAGCTGGTAAAGTATTTAAAGCAGAAAGGGTCAGAAAGGGCCAGATTTAGATGGAGCTAAATCCCTATAGCATTCCGTTTTCTGCCCTTGCCCCTTGAACTTTGAAGGCTTACCCATATATCCTAACAATCTGTTGTTCTCTGAGCTGCTAGAAAGCCAATCCTTGGCAGATACTGATGTAGTCATTGAATCTATGGCTCACAAATAATTGAGAATGGCTTTGGTTGAAGAAGTACAAAACATGGATATAAAATGTCTAGTATTAGACACTTGAGCATTGGCATTCTTATCCCTAGTTCTTTCTAACACATACACTTAATTGACATATATTAGCCTTTTCCTATATGGAGCATCTATTTAGTTAGTAACAGATGTTCTTAGTGAAGTATTTAGTTTTGGGTTTTTTTGCTTGTAAAATTTCTCTGCATTCCTGAGATAGTGCACTGCACATAAAGTATTGTTAACTTAACTAGTAATTTATATTACTCTATTTAATTCTTAAAGTGTCTACATGTGGCTTTTTATTGAGTACACTCTTAAATCATTACTTGGCTTGTAAATATTCACCCAAACTGTGGCTACAATTTTTAAAAAATAATCTGGAGAAAAGGAAGATAAAGCTTAAATTTTCAACACTTTTGCTCTTAAACATTCCACAAATGCCATTAAGAGTTTATTTTGTTTTAGAGTCATTTAATATTCTTTTATGCAAAATAATGGTGGGTTTTTTTTGTTTTCTTTTTTGATTTTGCTTTCCATATGGAAAAGGTTAACTTTGGAAGTGTTTATAGTAAAAGATTTTATCATGTTATCTGTCCAAGCACTATCCCAAAGTCAGTGTAACTTGAAGAGATTTTCTGAAATAACTATTGAATACAGCTATTCCACGGCGTCCTTGTGGTATGTGATGTGATAGTGTTTATGGAATTACCAATATCTTAAATTTTCAAAGGAACCTGGGAAATCTTGTCAGTCCAAATGAATATGTGCTCAAAATTGACCAGTTCAGTTTAAGACACAAAACAGCAATGGAAGAAGGAAAAATGAAGAGAGTTTACAGCTAATGGGTTAAATTTTTGTTATTGCAATGGTAAGCTTAGTCTTATAATATTTCAAAATGAAAAATCATATGTATTTGTTTCCATGTCTGAAGATTGCTTTGTTAAAAGCAAAAGTGGTCATGTGATATACTAATGTTAATTGCTGTTTTTATATTTTTAAATCATGCCAAACAAATCATGTCTGTGCCATCCAGGGTTTATTGTTAATCTTTTACTGAACACTTGGATTGGGATAAAGGGCTTGTACTATGCACTTTTTATTAATGAATAAATAGAAAACATTAGTAACACTCTTTGTTTTATGTTTGGCTTTTATGGGAAGAGAAGCAAGCATCTTTTGTTTAGTAGATGTTAACATCCTATATTAAATGTTTCTTTGTAAGACTTTGTACACCTAAGTAAAGACATTCCTAAGAGAGAACTGAAGTTGTAAGAAAAATATATAATAGCAGTATGGGGGTAGTATTCGGAAGTAGAGATTCTAAGACTCTTTAGGAAATTAGATTGCAATTATTAATACATTTCTTTGGTTCTTTTTTTTTGCTTCCTAGAATACAGTCAAATAGACATTTGTTTGACTTGAGGGAATACTATCCAAGAGTAGTAATTATTTGAGCAGATATATCTGACTCAAAAGGAGCTAAATGTACTGAAAACACACAAAAGTGAAAATTTGCTTTTGTTCTGTGACCTGGAATCTGTCCAGACACTAAAGATCATTAATACCCACAAACATGTACAAATGGTAGAATTGCTCTGGCATGATTCTGATGTCAGTGTCTATGTATTTAAAAGTGTCTATGCTATTTAAAATAGCAAAATTTGTGAAATACATAATTCCCTAGAGACAATGACTTTTTTTATGATTTCAGTCTAAAGATAGTCATGTACATGTCAATGCGTATTTGAATCCCCAGTAAAACTGTTAAGTTTTTATTAAATGGCTCTGCAATACCAGTTTTCCTCCCAGGAAATGAAATTCAAATAAAATAAGTTGTTTGCTTCCTGGCGTTTCACCTGATGATTTTTTCAGTTCTGGATCTCAATTTGTTGAGTTGTTGGGTTTTTTTCCCCCAAAAGATGTTCCATAAACACCAACCATGACTATCTTTCATGCACAGATGTTTTAAAACTAGAGTTTCCATTGTGCTCTTTGCCCATTAGCTGTTTGTAGGGAATGTTCGTATGCAACCTTTGGTCAAACAAGTGGACTGTGTTCAATAAACATTTCAACAAATGCTCATACTTCCTGCTTAGCTGATGCCGTATGCTTTGGAATGGGTATTATTCAGAATTAGATTACAGAAACCGTTTTAAATCATCAGATGCCAGATTCAGATTTCTGTTGAAGGCAGGGTGGGAGAGATTTTGGGAGGCAAGGATTATATAGGGGTGGAAAACAGTGTATAGTTTTAAGAATAAAGCAACTTTCACATTAATACATTTTTTACAAGAGCATTTATTCCTCATACAAATCTCCACTTCTAGCAAATTTAGGAAGAAGGAAAATATTTGAAATCCCTGCAATGTCAGAGTCTTTACCTCTTAAATATCTGGTCCTACACGTTCACAACCTCAGACCTCAGTCTGTGTCTTGACGATTAATGGTTTTGAATTGCATTTTTTATTAGTTTTGAAAACTTGAGCAGAATTAAAGAGCATATATACCACATAAGTTCAGCATTGTAGAAAAATTCTCGTGTTGTTTTTAAAGCAATGAATCTGCTATATAGACACTTGTTAATTCAGTAAGTATCAAAGAGAGAGGCATTTTATACGAAAAAGGCATCGCAGACCCTGGGTTGAATGCAGCCTTCTATGACAACTAATTAGTATGTAAACAAACTGTAGAAGTCTGGATGTATTAAAGGAGATTCCTTACAATTATTAATAATTCAGCAAGGACAATTTTGTGGTTACAAGATACAGGAAAGACATAAACAGAGCCTATACCCCCAACAAATGGGTTAAGATTTATATCCTTGCAAATATGGTCAGCCTTCATTTTTATCAGCTTTTTCTTAAAAGCTACATTTTACTCTGTTTTGCCTCACATTACATTTATGTCAACATCCTCTCATCTTCTGAAAGAGTTTCACTAGCAACTGCCTGTTGAAAGCTGACAGTCTCAAGATTCAAGCATGATTCTGCTAGGCAAAACTAAATCAGAAGGTACAAGGCTTAAGGAAACCTGGGGCAAATAAACTAATATTGTATAGTTTAGTTTCTCCATTAAAGAATGGATAGGGGCCCGGCGTGGTGGCTCACGCCTGTATCCTAGCACTCTGGGTGGCACTTTGAGCTCAGGAGTTCAAGACCAGCCTGAGCAAGAGCGAGACCC